TCTCTCTCTCTCTCTCTCTCTCTCTCTCTCCCTCTCTATATATATATATATATATATCTATCTATCTATCTATCTATCTATCTATCTATCTATCTCTCCCTCTCTCTCTCCCCGCCCTGTGCACACGCCTGTCCATCCATCCTGTCTCGCTCTCCCTCTCTTCCACCCTCCTCCTCCCTTTCCCCGTGTGATCCTGGGTCTAGTAAAGCTGGAACCTGGACCGACAGATGTTCTGGCTGGCAGTGACAGCTGACTTGTCAGCATTGCAGCTTAAAACGGTGCGTGTCTGTACGAAGCAGGAATGTACAAGAGCTGTCCTACCAAGATTTTGTGAGAGAATCCGAAAAACCTTGCGTGGGAAAAGACGCTGCCGAAGCCAAGGATATTGAACCTCCACAAACTGTCTCATGCTGTACGCACCATCCCTCCACCACACCTCTTCCCTCCTTCCCACAGCAGCAACTTCCCTCCTCTTGAACATAGCATGATCCTTCCCCTCAGTCCATCCGCCGTGACCGCCCCACCGAACCTGTCGTCGTAAAGCCTCACGACAACTTATCCTTTGATGTCTACTTGTCTCTAGCCGTCCCACTCAACACCCTTCCATTAATAAGTTTGTGAATACCCCTCGATCACACTGGGATTTCCCCCGAAAAGACCTCTACGATCCTGTATACCCTCTCACAATCCCTAAACGCTCCGCAATCCCATCGTTTCCCGTTTTCCAGTCAGTCAGGGGAGCTCTGAGGGATTGCTAAAATAGTTCCGAAAGGCTTCGACAGCTGGCCTCAAAGACTCCCAAAGTCCCAGGGCCCCTTCAACGAGGCCCACTAAAGCCCCAAGCCTCAAAGAGTTTCGAAGTCCCAAAACCCAGGGACCCTTCAATGAGGCCCACTAAAGCCCCAAATGACTCATCAAAAGAGTTCCAAAGAGTTCCAAAGAGTTCCCAAAAGTTCCAAAGAGTTCCAATGAGTTCCAAAGAGTTCCAAAGAGTTCCAAAGAGTTCCAATGGTGTTGCTACGATTTCTAAAATGTCCCGAGAAGCTCATCTCTAAGTTATTTCTCCCCTACCAACGGGCCTAGCTCAGTTGGTACACTAGTGAACTGCTGAAACACAGACCCAAGTTCCAATCCAGCTAAAAACAAAAAAAAAAACGAAACAAAAACGTTTGTCCTCCCCTGTCCTGTCCTGTCCTGCCGTTTCGCATTTTCTCCGGTCGCCTAACTGTTGGGAACCATAAATTCACTTGATCATAAATTTAAACTTTCAAGGTACTAAGAACTTATAAATACACTGTTCATCAAGCCAAGCCCTCCTTTCTGTCCACCGTCCCACATGCCATTTCAAGCTTGATTCCTTAATTCAAAAGTATCCTTCCTGAAAAACAGGGATCAATGATGGGACATTGACAATGTTAAGTTCCACTCGAAAACATGCCTTCTGAGTCCTCCTTACCTATGGGTGAAATTGTTATGCGATTACGCCATGCGTACGCCCGCCAAAAAGCAAAAAGGGTCTCAGATTTTGCAGCTTGTGAGTTTTAACTTAGTAATGAGTTTAGGGTTGAGGAACCATACCCGCCAGGACGGTCGCAGACTTCACCATGATTGTGGATGCGAGTCCGCGCATTCGCACGCACGGCGATCGGAGGGCTCACAGACTTGCCCATCTCACCCACCCACCCACTTCTCTCTAACCTCAGAGTCTTCCATGTTTACGCGATAGTCGCTCCCTTTATGCATCTATAGTAGTGCCATTCTGGACCACGTACAGTTGTCAACATACAAAGAATTCTTGCGAGCCTGCTCGTCGCTTCTGCCCGGTTGCACCGATAGCAAGGTCTGTCTCTACAGCCGAGTCACGCTGAGCACTTCGCAGCTCGTAATTTGCATTGCCAGCCTCATCCTGACACCCAAAGCTGTTGCAGACCAAAACACCTTGCTATTGTTCCGTACCTTCCTTCCTTTGGCTGTGCACTTGAGCACTGCTCGGGAGCTCCCTCCAATTATTAATCGGTTGGCCGTTGCTGTTGAAAACGCGGTGCTCGACGAGCATGCTCTTTTATACAATTGAAGGAGCAAAAAATTGGGGATTATAACCTTACATCCAGTGTGTGACGATGCCATGGATCCGGTGGAAGTCGGCTTGTCAGCGCGACACAACTGACAAGTAACTGGATGTCGTACTGCCGGATTCGGTACTCCACGGGGTTATGGAACCGGTAAGAATTTCCGTGATATCGTCTGCGCTGATGATGACTTTCCTATCGGGGAGTTTGACCATGCAGTCTCTGGTGTCCACCTCCTCCCCTGGGTGCAAGGTCTCCCCCAGCTTGCAAAAACAATACCTACACCATGAAAACGCAACAAAAATGTCATAATGATTGCAAAAAGGTTAATAATACTCAATATCCTCAAGACTTAGTGTCCAAATGAGCAAAACTACCAACAGGCCTACGGTAGCCCAGTTGGTACACCCACAAACTGCTAAAATACAGACTCAAGTTCAAATGAATCAAATCCAGATACAATCAGATGACCAGAATAAAAGCATTCTGAATTCCCTGGGGCTGGCCAGTTCAATGATTGAAAATCGCAAGGCCGTCACAGTGTCACCCTTTTTAAAGAAGAGGAAAAAAGAAAAGGTAAAAAAAGAAGAGTAAACCTTCTCCCCCTCCCCTCCCCCTCCCCTCCCCCCTCCCTCCCCCGGTGAAAAAGAAAATTTAAAGAAAAAAAGTCTTAGAGCAAAACTCGTTCGTTTTTCGTACTTTTCGTATACCAGAAAAGGAAATTTATCCAGACAAGATAACACGATAACTGATTTGAAAGGTCATTGAATTTGTTCGGCTTCAAAGAATTAGCTTTAAAAAAAAGAAAGAAAGAAAGAAAGAAAGAAAGAAGACAAAGATAGCTAACAGAGTAACAAACCTGTCCTTTGGGACATCTATTAAAATTGGAACAATACAGAGAAAGAAGATAAACATGGTCCCTGCGCAAGAAAGGCATACATATATTGAGAAAGAGAAGGAAGAGACCCCCCCAAACATCTGAGCAAAAACACAGGCCAATGCACACATCCCCCTTCCCATTCCCACTCCCACACACCACATCTATCCCACAACCAGCACAGATCCAAAATTCCCAAACCTACCAACACCTCCYCCCCCCCCCCCCCCCTTCCTTTACTCCAACCCCAATCACTGGCAATCAGAGAGTATGCCACCAAATCCAAACAATCTCACCATCAACAGTAGACACAGACAGCAAACAACCCCCAGGAAAAGGTTCATCAGCAGGATGTAACCAAGCTAGGGTTTAGGGTTTTAGCTTCACGTGACACTTTCAAGTAAAACAGCTCCCAAGGAGTCCGGAAGTAGAGTAAAGGGTTCCGATACACCCACTGCGGCCCCCAAAAACACAGACATGCCACAAGTCCACTTGACAGAGAGGAAGAGCCAGAAGAGAGACCTGATAGCTCCAGCAAAGTCAAGCAGCAGCCACTTAAACAGGCTAACTGAGGCAGGGGGGAAGATCGATACATCCTCCGTCAAGGAAGTAATCAATGCCATCTTCTGGGCCTCCATGCCATAAGGGGGAGGAGTGTGAGTGAGTAACCATTGTACTATCTTTGACTTGCCGAGGGAGGAGGAACCGGACTGATGCTCCGCAGAATGGAAAAGGAGTCAGAACCTTGAGGTTCTGTTTAATCATTGATGTACCAAAAAAAAAAAAAAAGAGAGAGAGAGAGAGAGATGGAAGAAAATTTCAAAAAAATAACAACTGGTAAATCCGAGCAACTCGCAGAATAACTACAGAGATGGACGAAGAGTGAGGGTATACTCACACAAGGACTTTTCTGAACGAATCTGACTGCCTTGACGTCCAGATCTGAGTATCAAAAGTCCTAGTGTGAGTATTCCGTGTGAGTGGATTGGCGATTCCCTTCACCGTTTCTCGGGACTCAGAAGTGGTCTTCAGGAATGATATTTAACAGGCTGAAGATCGTGAGTTCGATCCTCACTGTCGGCACCAAAAAATAACAGAACGACAAGAAGAAAAGCAAGGTACAAAAATTCGATGGGCCTACCTCAGTTGGGACACTGATGAACTGTTGAAACTTGAAATACTGACCCAAGTTCAATATGGAGATGCAATCAAAGTAGATGTGAACTTGCGAATGACCTGGGGCCGTTCAGCTCAATGATGGTGTCTCAAGGCCATCGCTCTTTATAATTAAAAAAAAAGCCTTAGGGAAGAAGAAGAAGAAAAGCAGGGAGCAAATATTTTCTTCCCTTTCTTTCGCCTGTCCTTCTAATCTTTCCGGCAAATTCAGCACGGCATAAGAAAAACATAGCTCGATTGCAAAATGCGACCACCATTGCTACCGTCTTCACTTGAATAGAAGGCCCAGTCATTATAGCTGCATCCAGATAATGACCAGGTGTTGTATTCGGGTGTGAAGTCGCTGGGCCCAGGATACGGGGATTGCCCAAAACCAGGAACTTTGAGTCCCTCTTCCTCGGCTCACTCCCTGTCCTTAAATCCCCTTTAATCTTGCTGCCCCCTTCCACCTCTCTCTCTCTCTCTCTCTCTCTCTCTCTCTCTCTCTCTCTCTCTCTCTCTCTCTCTCTCTCTCTCTCTCTCTCTCTC